TTAGGTACTTCTCATGATGATGCTGTGAGCCTGGAGCCAAGTCTGACACTGTAGAGACTATCTCATTGAATCCTCCCAACAGCTCCCTGAGGCAGGTACTTGCCTTAGCTCCATTATACAGATGGTAATGCTGAGGTTGACAGAAGGTCAATAACTTAGCCAGATGAACAGAGCTGAGAAGCGGCAGAACCAGGATCTGGGTGCAGGCTCCTTTGATTCTTTACCTGGCTCTTCCATATTATTACCCATCCAAGGATGGTAATGCCCCGACACCCTTCTGCTATTCCCTTCCCCAATTCACAAGGAGCTCAGTGCCTAAGCTTGCACTGACTCTCTTGAGACTAAAGCCATCTCTTTCTCCTGGGACTGGCCACTTCTCTCCACACTTCACTTCAAAATGCCTGACCCTCCCAGTGAGTTGGTTAAAAATCCTGTAAAATTTTACAGTATATGTCTTATTCTGTTTTGCATTGCTATAAATGAATACCTAAGACTGGGTAATTTATAATGACAAGAGGTTCATTTGACTCATGATTCTGCAGGCTGTACAAGCATGGCTCCAGCATCTGCTTGGCTTCTGGTGTAGCCTCAGGAAGCTTTTACTCATGCGGAAGTGGGAGGGGGAACAGGCATGTCGCATGGTGAGAGATGGAGCAAGAGAGAAGGGGCAGGATACAAGTTATTTTAAACACCAGCTCTCACATGAACTGATAGAATGAGAACTCACTCATTACTACGAAGACAGCGCCAAGCCATTCATGAGGCATCTGCCCGCATGACCCAAATACCTTCTACCAGACCCCACTTCCAACACTGGGGATCACATTTCAACATAAGATTTGGAAGGGACAAATATTCAGACCATATCAGCATGCAAATTATTTTTCAATAAAGGTGTTATTAAAGAAAAAAGAACTGTAAAGACTTAAAACTGTATTGCAGTATGCCTTCTGGCCAGCCTGCCCTGGGAGGCAGTCCTGCATTGCTTGCCATTTAATGTGAACTAACCAAGCTCTCTGCCTGGTTAGTTCAGTGGACAGATGCCATGACGAGGCAGGCCTCCAGGCTCCTGGTGAGATGGGATTTGGCTCACCAGCCCAGAAGGGGTCTACCCACATGTTCAAGATGTTTCCTCTTTAGTCCTGCCAGGAGGCTCAGTTTGACCTGAGACAAAGTCTGCCCAGGCCTTACTGATCCCCTGGTGTACAAGGTTGTGGGAGGGGGCTAAGCTAAAGTAAAGGGAAGGCCTCTCTGGGTGCATTTGAGCTGCTGGGCTTTGCAACTGGGGGTTGGGGGTGTTTTGTTCCTTCTGCATCCATCTCTAGAATGTCAGCACCACAAGGTCAACACTTGTTTTGTTCACTGATTATCTTAAGCACCTAGAACAGTGCCTGGCAATAGTAGGTGCTCAATAAGTATTTGCTGAATAAATCAGCTCTAGTTGTAGGCTGGTAGGAGAGTTACCTTAATGGGGAATTTTTCTCTCTGGGAAAGTCTTCTCCTTGTCTTTCTAGCATAACAGTTCCAGAATTCCCTACAGAAGCCCTAGAATTCCCTAGAATCCCAGAAGCCCTAGAATTCCCTACAGTTCTTCTTTGGGAAGGGCTGTGATTTCTTAGTGGAAATCTCTGCTATTAATGGATCCAAAACCACGAAACTTGGTGAGTGTATGGATGTGTCTGGCACATTTGTCTGAGTGTGGCATCTCAGCTGTGGAGCTTTCACGAATGCCAATTTGGGCTGGTGTTGATGACTGTGTCACACAGGGAATGAGTTTTGGTATCAGACCAATCTGGGCTTGAATGTTAACACTGCCACTATTCAGCTGTGCAGTCTAAAGACAGTGGCTTAACCTCTCTGAGATTCAATTTCCCAGTCTAAAATTATGGATAATGGACCAACCTTGTGGTGGATCGAGCATATGTATGCAATGTCCTTAGTACCTAGTGGCACTCAGTAATTACTTTCAGGTTAATAGGTTTCTTGGTAGCTCTGACTGCCCGTTTTCCCTTTGCTGTATCCTCCCTTCTTTGTTCCTGGAGCCTCTATTCAGATCGTGCCCTTCTCCTCTTTGAAAGGTTTTTTTTTTTTTGGTTTTGTTTTGTTTGTTTTTGTTTTTGTTTTTTTACTTTCATTTCTTTTTTTGTAGAAATAAGGTATATTAGTTCCTACCCAATCTCCCTTGGCCAGAGGGTCATGATGAGCTGGGACTTTCTCTGGGGCTGGGAGGTCTGCAGAGCTGTGTTTATCACATCTCTGCATGCACAATACCCACCTAATACAGGCAGGCTGTTCCGTGAATATTAATTAAATGAACTGATGGTTTTTCTTTGGGCATTTTCTCTCACTCAGCTGTGGGACTGACTCCCCGGGAGGGAGGTGGGGTGGGAAAAAACAGAAGGTAAGTCTGGTGAATGTGGCTGAAATTCCTGCAGCTGTGGGTGTGTGGGTGTGTGGGTGTGAAGGGCGGGAGGTGGGAGATGGAGAGGGAAATCCAGACGTGCAGGTGGCAACACAGCCCCACCCTTTCTGGAAGTGGGCAAGGCAGGCTTCTTAGTCTTGGGGGCTATTTTGTATGAGAATTAGCACCTTCTTCATCTGGCTTCTGATGAATAGCTTGATCCAATAAGGTTGGGAAAATCACTTCCTATCTATACAGGTGACCATATCTATAAAGTAGCCATTGAGATGCTTGCCACTTTCTCATGTGTAATTAGTGAGGTTGGAAGGGGCTGTGTGCTCCGTGGTAGCCCCACAAGAGCCTACACTTTGGTCTTACACTGGCCTGGGCTCAAAACCCATCTCTTCTGATGCCCAACTGTGTGCCTGGTGCAGACAAGTGGTTTCACTTCTGTACCCTTCAATTCTCATCAGTAAACACGAGGCTTATAGAGAGTCTCTTAAGAAGTTCTTGAACAAAAATGAGGGAATGGGCTAATATTTTCTCATACCCAGGCCAGTGCTTGGCATACAATAGCTATTCAATAAAAACCATTTTTACCGTGTTTCTTCTTTCACTGAATAAAACATATGGTTGTATATATATACATTGTGGTAATTACTATTATCATCACCACTAATAATGCAACCCCAGGATTTGTTGGCGTTCATATAATCATAGGTAGGCTAAGCCAAAAAATAAATGTAAAAAAAACAAAAAGATGCCAAGATTTCCTCAGGAGCTTCTAGAAAGTAAATCAGGGGTATGTATTATAGCCCCAGTAGTAATAGCGAGTAGCAAACACTTAATTTGGTAAGATATGTTCCATGTCTTTGTCTCCTGAACAATTAGCTAGATGAATAAATAGCTGTCTGCCCTCAGAAAGGGAACATAATATGCAATTAAAATTAAGGACGTTCTATTTGAGGGGACCTGTTACATGAAATTACAGCAGAAGGCAATTGGGGAATATTATTGTTTTGCATATTTAGGAATCAGGATAATTAAAAGATGCCAAACACTTCGGACCAACTGGCAAGGGTTTGGGAAGGGAAGAGGGAAAAAGACCTCACCTTGTGGGATGTGGGCATCAGTAGGAAGGTAGCTGTGCATGTTATGTACAGAAAATGGGGTGCTTGGAGCTATTGTAAATGATGAGGGGAGTCCTAAGGGCTGTGATTGTGGAGAAGAAACTTAGACCCTGAACTGAACAACATGAGTCACATTCCTGCCCCTCCATATTGTTGCTATATCATTTGCTCTTTGTAAATCTTTGATTTCTTCCTCATCTGAAAAAAAAATAGAGCTAATCATTTTGACTACAGAAATTTTTCATGAGGATTTAAAATGAGACAATCCATATAATGTGCCTAATAAAGTACTTGCAAATAGGGAGTCTTTCATAGACATTAATTATTATGATTCTGTTCATTGATGTGTAGAGAAGGTAAAAAGCGAACACATAAACCCAGTTATAAATAGTAACTATATGGTTAGAATGCTTTGGGCTGCAAGTAACAGCCAACCAAAATGCAGGAGACTTCTGTATGAGGGATGTTCATCATCCTACAGAACAAGAAGTCCTGGCTTGGTTAACTCAACTGTTCAATGACTTTATGGTTCCCATTGGCTTCTAAGTGATTCTCCTGAAGTCAACTGTGAGTTCCTCTCATATTTAAAAGATGTCTGCTACTCTTCTGAATATCACATCCTTCTGCAATTATGTTTGGAAACAGGAAAAAGTATTTCTTATTGGAAGTCTCTTTTGCAAACCTAGAAGTGTTTTACTGCCTCCACCCAACTCCCCTGTGTCTTATTGCCCAGAATTGACCACATGCCTATTCTTCTACTCACAAATCAATCACTGGCAATAAGAGTGGAATGAGTGAGATTTCCCCTGACCTAGTCAAGATCGATATTTTGGGAATAGAAGGGACCTCATTTAAAGCACATGGTCCCTCCATCCTGAAAACAAACAAAAATATTCTATTAGTGAACAAACTGGAAGAGAATGGTTTGGAAGTGGCAAGGCAGGAGTATCTATCTTAGTATATAGTATAGTTCTATTATTTAAGGCAATGTATGGAAGTGTCCTGGAAAAAATGATACCAACATGATAATTGCTATAGCAATATGATTGTTACCATAGGATTGGGGTATAAATTATATTTACTTCCTTTTTCATGTTTTTAGTATTGTCTTTCTTGCTTTTTTAAAGACAGAGTCTCGCTCTGTCACCCAGGCTGGAGTGCAGTGGCATGATCTCGCCTCACTGCAACCTCTGCTTCCCAAGTTCAAGTGATTCTCGTGCCTCAGCCTCCCAGTAACTGGGATTACAGGCATGCGCCACCTTGCTTGGCTAATTTTTGTATTTTTAGTAGAGACGAGGTTTCACCATGTTGCCCAGGCTCATCTCAAACTCCAAGCCTCAGATGATGCACCCACTTTGGCCTCCAGAAGTGCTGGGATTACAGGTGTGAGCCACCATGCCCAGCCATATTGTCTGACTTTTAAAAAATGTGTTTGTATTACTTTTATAATTGGTGTCTTCCACTTTTTTTTTTTTGAAAAAAGTATCATTTTTCAAATAAAATAATCTGTCCTTGTAGAACCTTCTTCCAAGTCCATCGAATGTGTTGATTACTCTGTTTCCAAGGATGGGCCCTATTTGTGGCAGTGACATTGGTACCCTATGGGCTGGAGTCTAACAATGCCAGTGTTTCTTGAGTTCCAAACACTTTTGACAGAGTGAATTCAGTTAATTATTGACATAATCTTCTAAGAAAGACCTTGTTATCCCTTTTTATGGATGAGAAAACTGAATCAGAGAGAGTAAAGTTATTGGCTCAATACTACTCTGGCTTCAAGGACTACCATATTTGAAGATAATTCCACTAATATTTATCAAGCACCTACTATTTACCTATCACTGTACTTAGCCCTGGAGACGGCTGAGAATCATAAACAGGACACACAAACCATCCCTATAGGTTTTATAGTCTCAGCCACAGCTAGAAAGAAGCAAACCAGCAGTTTCAGTAGAGTGCGACAAGTTCTGTGATGGGGTGGGAAGCCTGCAGATTTCCTCACCCAGTCTCATCCTCCTGCCCCTCCCTTACCTCTCATGTTCCTTTGTTCCTGCTCTCTAACCTTCAGTCCCTGTAGTAGGCAGGGAGGGACAGGACCAAGAGGATATACAGAGTTATCTAGAAAGGTATTTATTATGAGAGATTGGCTCATGTGATCCTAGAGGCTGAGAAGTCTCTTGATCTGCTATTTGCAAGCTGGAGACCCAGGGAAGCCAGTGGTTTAGCTCCAACCCAACTCTGGAAGCCTGAGAACCAGGAGTGTCCAGAGCCAAAAGCAGAAGAGGGATGCCCCAGCCAAAGAAGAGAGAGCAAATTTGCCCTTCCTCTGCCTTTTTGTTCTACTTGGGCCCTCAGTGAATTGGATGGTACTTACCCATGTTGGTGAGGGAAGTCTGCTGATTCAAGTGGTAATCTCTTCTGGAAACATCCTCACAGACACACCCAGAAATTATGTTTTACCAACTGTCTGGGCATCCCTTAGCCCAATCAAGCTGTCACATTAAATTAACCATCACAATTCCCTTTTCCTCTCTTTCCTTCACTCTGTCCTTATTTTCATAGCTCAGTCTCTTCCTCATTCTTTCCTTTTACCTGATCCTTCCAATTATTTGGAGTGGATGGCAGTTGCATGGTAGAGGGGATTAGCACAGGACTAGTGCTTTGCTCTTTGGGGATCCCATTCCTGTTCTGATTTAAGTCAGTGTCACTTATCTCTCTGGGCCTCTAATTTCAATGAAATGAAGAGAACGATTCCTGCTCTGATTTTCAGATAGGATGGCTGGAAAGATCAAATACACTAATAGATAGCAAAACAACTGGCCAAGTGGCAAAAGATATGCAAATGTAAGTTACAAATTGCAGGTGTCAAAAAACAAAGGGATTGGGATCCACCTCTTAAGTGTCTGGACACTCATATGCACAAAAGCAATGTATTTTCTAGCTCAAATCGCTTGAGGCTGGATGACACTTTCTCTCAGTTCTCAGCATGTAGGCTTCGTTGCCTGAAATTCTTCCATTCCTTTCTCCCTGCCAAAAAACTCCCAATTAATGAAACCATTGCTCTGTGTGCCCAGGGCTGGGTGAGTTATTGGGAGAACAATGTGAGGGCTGTACGGAAGCACTTAGTTAAATGCACAATTGTGGATTGCCAGCACCATATTTGGAACAGAGTAATTATACTCATTATAATGTAAAATGCTGCTGATTGGAAGATAGGCCGTCAATTTAACTACAACTTTTCAAGAAAAGAAATATCAGAAATGTTAAACGTACACATCAATTTAAGACATTCTGATTTTAGAAATATAATAATGTGGGGAGAAAAAAGCATGCCTCTTAGAATTGAAGAATTAGGGTAATGACTGGAAATGGGAATTTGGACAGATGAAGTTAAGTAGAGAGAAAATAAATTTGGCATGCTAGGCAAGTTGTTAGAGAAAAACATATCCACATGCATGTTCCATGAGGGCCTGCAAGAGATACGCCTGGGCTCCGTGCTGACTCATCATAGTGAATAAAATACCCCCTGCCCTCAAGAAGCTCAGAGTCAGTAAATGAGACCCAGATTTCTAAGCTGAATAATTGACTCCAGAGTGGCGAATGCTAGGATGACGAATGACATGTGCAGAGAGCGTAAGGTGAACATAGGTGAGCATTTACCTCTCATGGGGGTGACAGGAGTCGAGGAGAATTTCTAAGGAAAGTGATACCTGTTGTGAATTTCCAGAGGTGAAAAGGAGTGGGCCAGGAGAAGAGGCTGAGATGGCATTGGAGAGAGAGGGTAACCCGGCAAAGACACGCGGGTGGGAATTGTTTCTGTGCATTCTTGCAGGGAGAGCCTAGGAGAGGGAGGCAATGCTCTAGGGAACAGATCAGCAGGGAACAGAACCACTTAAAGCAGCTATTCTTAAAGTGTGGTTTGCCCTTTCTCCGTACCCCAGGGCCTCTGAGACCCTTTCATGAAGTCTGAGAAGTCAAACCTATTTTTCTAATACTAAGATTTCATGTGCCCTTTTCAGTCGCATTCTCTCAGGGGTGTACAGTGGAGTTTCTCAGCGGCTAGAGGATGAGTGAGATCAAGACAGACTGAATGCTGAAGCAGAGATGCGAGCTCAGCTGTCTTCTATTAAATCAGACATTTGAGAGATTTCCCAAAAGGCAAAACGGTGCCATTTTTTTCAGTAGTAATTACCTGTTTTGGAAAATGTAGTGATTTTTTCATAAATATATGTTATTTATGCAAACAGGAAATGGGTTTAATATTTTTATATTTAAATGAATAAAAACTTGTTTAAAATATCTTAGTTTTAGTTTGTAATGTAGTGAACGTTGGTGAATATGATCCACATAAGTGAAAGTTCTTTGGGGTTTCTTATAAAATTTAAGTTTGAAAAACACTAGATTGAGGGTTAGCTTTCTGCTCAAAGAGTTAAAAATGGAACTACCATTTGACCCAGCAATCCCATTACTGGGTATATACCCAGAGGAATAGAAATCATTCTGCCACAAAGACACGTGCGTGTGAATGTTCACTACAGCCCTATTCACAATAGCAAAGACATGATATCAACCTAAATGTCCATCAATGACAGATTGGATAAAGAAAATGTGGTACATATACATGATGGAATACTATGCAGCCATAAAAAAGAATGAGATCATGTCATTCGCAGGAAGACGGATGGAGCTGGAGGCCATTGTCCTCAGCAAACTAACCCAGCAACGGAAAACCAGATACCACATTTTCTGAGTTAGAAGTTGGAGCTAAATGATGAGTAAACATGGATGCACAGAGGGGAACAACAAATCCTGGGGCCTACTTGAGGGTGGAGGCTGGGAGGAAAGAAAAGAGCAGACAAAATTAATATTGGCTACCAAACTTAGTATCTGGGTGATGAAATAATCTGTACAACAAACTCCCGTGACACGAGTTTACTTATGTAACAAACCTGCGCATGTACCTGTGAACCTGAAATAAAAGTTTTTTTAAAAAGTTAGCTTTCCAGGAGGGGTGTTTGCCGCAAGTGCCAGCAGGGGGCAGTATTGGGCCAAGGCCCTTGCAGCAGGAGGTAGGATAGAAGTGGGTCGGGGAGTGGAGGAGGATAGTGACCTAAGGGGAAGCCTCAGGCAAGCCATTCCTCCATAAAGTTTCTCTGCTCTCTGTTCTAGAAGTGAGTCACCGTTTCCTGAGGTGCCTGGTGCTGGAGCTGGCATTTGTCCTTTATCTTGTCTTTACAACATCACCATGAGAAAGGGGCTGGTAGGTTTTGCATTTTATAAGGGAGGGAACAGGGTCAGAGAGGTCAAGTGGCTTCCCTGACAACATGGAGCAAGTTGGGTCGTGGTCAGTGTTCCAGTCCAGGTCTGTCTGACTGCTGGGCCCTTGCAATTTTCTCCTGTGACAAGTGGCCTCTGTGGCAGGAGGGTAGGAGGGTGTTTGAGGCTCTGGTCCATGAGAGCTGCGCTGGGCTTTGGTCCTCCCCCTGGCTGCCGTGTGGGGTGGTCTCTGATGGCACCCGGGAGAACATGCACCCTGGGAGTGGGGGCAGGCTCAGATGCTGTTACCCACCTCAGGGAGGGTGGTGGATGCTGATCTGGCAATGTGACTCTCCACTGACGAGGTTGCTGTGGCCTACAGGGGCTCTGGAAAAAGTGTGCAGGAGTGATGGGCTTATCCTTGGGTGGAACCAACTTGGGGAGCTGGGCATGGAGGACTCATCTTCAGGGCAGCTGTCTCCTTATAGTCATTCAGCAGAGCTGACTGGGCACCTATATCTGTCAGGTTCTAAGCTTTGTCCAGTGGGAGAGAAGAACAAAGACTTGTTCATTTCTTTCCATGCAGTCAGCAAGCAGAGGCAGACTTGACTTTGGGTCTTGGGGGCTCTGGACTTTCACTTTGTTCTGACACTGGTTAGCTAGGTGACCGTGGGCATTGACTTAATCCCTCTGTGCCTCAGTTTCCTCTGAGTCAAATGGAGATAGTATATAGAAGTAGCTAAATGTAGGTAGGTGAGAATTAGACAAACAAGTACGTGTCAAGCCCTTAGATCTTGACCTGGCAGAGAGAAAGCACTTGACAAATGTCATTCCTGGCATCTTATTATTATACGATTCTTAGTATGTCATATTAGTATCTGGTAGCTTTTTAAGGCCCATCTCCTCATGTAATTTTCACAATGGGTCTGTGTGTTAGGTGTTTTATTATTGCCCAGTGATATTAATAAATAAATGGAGGCCCAGAGAGGTTAAGTGACTTACCCCAGGTGTAGGTCTCCAGGGCGCTCTCTCTGGCCTCCCTCTCCGTGTGTTCAGGCTACAGGTGGCTGACTTTTCCACGCCCATGTCTGATGCTGGAGGCCCTGAGTGCTAGTATGACTTGCCTTAAGAGGAGCCCCCTGGTGAAAAAGGCCTGCATGGGGCCGGGAAAGCACAGGGAGATGGGATGGGCCTGGTGGTCCATTAGCGAATCAGAATCCCAACCAGAGACTGAGCCAATGGCAATTCTGTGAGATTCTATTATCTCTGGTCATGTTTCTGTTCTTTCTTTGGTTCTTTCTTTCCTCTACCTGCTCCTTACTAATCATGCTAACGTTCCCAGAGCACTTCCCCCCAGGAGCCGAGCTCTGCAGTTTGCATGCCTTTCTGCCTCTAATATTCACAACCGGCCCATGAGCTAATGCTCAGGAGAGTGACGGATGCTTCCCTGAGGCCTACCCTGCTGGGCTCTGCTTTAAGCGTTTTTTTTTTTTTCTTTTCTTTTTTTTTTTTCAGACAAAGTCTCACTCTGTGGCCCAGGTTGAAGTGCAATGGCACGAGCTTGGTTCACTGCAACTGCCGCCTCCTGGGTTCAAGCGATTCTCCTGTCTCAGCCTCCTGAGTAGTTGGGATTACAGGTGCATGCCACTACTCCCGGCTAACTTCTTGTATTTTTAGTAGAGGTGGGGTTTCACCGTGTTGGTCAGGCTGGTCTTGAACTCCTGACCTCAAGTGATCCACCGGCCTCGGCCTCCCAAAGTGCTGGGATTACAGGCATGAGCCACTGCGCCCGGCCTCTGAGTACTTTTATGTCTTCATTCTCATCTCAGAACAGCCCCGGAGGAGTAGTACTAATAAGGCTTCCATTTTACAGATGAGAAGCTTGAAGTTTGGAGAGGTGGAGGAAATTGCCCAAGGACATTTAGCTAGTGATTATCAGAAGTAAGGCAGTGTCAGAGACAGTCTGATTTTGGAGCCATCCATGAAGCTGCAGCTTTGGAAAGAAAAGACCTATGGAGCTGACTTGGTGGGGTAACAAGAAAGGGAACTCAGAATTTTGGGACAGAACCACCAAGAAATAGAACGGTGATGTTAGAAGCCCAGAGGAAGCCTTTAAAGGGCTGCGGATGTTCCCCTGCTGGAGATGGGGCTGCAAGAGGAGCAAGGAGACAGCACGGGGAAGGATAGGGCTGGGACAGGAGCTAGCAGCGATGGGCAAAGCCTGGGACTAAATGGTCCTGGAAGACTGGCTGTTCTTTACTGCAGGGCTTGACGGAGACTTTGTACCTACCCTGTGCAAAACAGTATCTGAAATGGCTACAAATCCCCTGTGGAGTAGCTCTCAAGATTCAATCACAGGCCACAGCCTAAGGAAGGTGCTCACCAAAGGGCAGTGGCATAATAAGTTTGCTGTGTGCGGAGGGAGATTGAAGAAGCATGAGGCCTCCTGTGCTATTTACTTTGGAATTACTGACTGTTCACGCTGGAGCCAGTGCTTGGGAGCAGGCAGCATGTGCTTCTTGGGTCTTAAAGGGATAAAGCTTTATCTTTTTCATGGAGAGGGGTGTTGGTTTTTGCCTGGTTGTCCTAGCTTGGCACAAAGACAAGGACCACCTTCCCTGCCTCTAGGAAGATACTTGTCCCTACTTATAACAGAGGAAGATCTCAGAGGGGGATTTCTTTCCCAAATCCTGCTGTCCTGTGGGGCTCAGCATATTGAAGGTAGCCATAGGTTATATTTATTTACTTGCCAGTCATTTTCATCTCATCCTTGATGACTCCGGTCAGACATCTCCTCCTTTCAGAAGTCTTCCCTGACTGCCCATGTATAAAGTTGACAACTGCAGTAGGCAGACCCTTAGTCCCAATTAGAGCAATTATTAAGTACCTGCTTTGGGATTCAGTATCATTTCCAGTAGATCATATTGTACTGCCACACGGTGGCTAAAGACTCCAGAGGAACAAATAGGCCCAGCAAACTACCAGAGCCCCGTGAAACAACCAATCAACAAATGTGCTTACTAAGGGCGCCACGTACCACTGAGGGAGATAAGAAACCTCAGTTCCTGACCTCAAGGAGAGTCAGACTGAAGATGGAGGAGAGGGTAGATAAGGCAAAGTTGTGAGAAGGTTTGTGTCCACACCAATCTTTTTGTGGCTGGGAGTCAACAATGAATGCATCTGGGAGTGATCAGAGAGGGTGTACAGGAAACAAGAGATGTTCCCAAGGATTTGCAAAATGGGGAGTTCACAGAACCCTAGAGTAGTGGTTTAAGGGCTTAGACTTAGGAGTTCTGACCCCTGCTTTGCAAATTGCTTGCTCTTGGACAATGTAACTTTCTATGCCTCAGTTTCCTGATCTGTAAAATGGAGATGATGACTGACTTCACTGGGTGCTGGCAAGTAGTAAGCCAGGTCAGGCATGAGAAGCACTTTGCACAGAGCCTCGCACATTGTTTAGCATTTGAGGAGTACTGCCTCTGGTTATTAACCAATCATTGTTAATATTTTTTATTAACAAATTATTATTTCCAATAGTACCAGTAAGAAGGGCATTCCTGGCCATGGGCTCTGCTCCCCAGGATCTGCTCAGCCTGGAGTGCATAGTTCCCACCCACACCAACTGTGTAACGAGTTCCCCCTTTGCTCTGCAGATGAATTTGGCTTGAATGTCTTGGTCTCCTCTTCCCAGTTGATTGGAGCTGTTTGAGGCCATGAAGAAGATACAGGGCTCTAATGGCACAAACAGAGAGCCTGCCAGAAGGAGCAGGCTGGCAGCTCACAGATGCTGCCCGTCTCCCCACATCAGTTGGCCAGCGGTGCTGAGGACTCACCCCCAGGCAAGCATCAAAGCATCGGGAGGACATTACAGTATACCCGTAATCACACCTGTTCCTGCTATGGGGTCAGCTTTCTGCAAGAAGGTTCAATTGCTCATTCATTCATTCATTCATCCACTCATTTAGCAGGCATGCATTGAGCACCTGCTGTTGCTCAAACATTGTACTGGGCACCAAGGGGATCACAAATACAAATTCGCTTGTTTATTCATGCAAGCATTCAGTGGATATTTATTGAGTGCTTCCTGTGTGTGATCATTGTCCCTGCCCTCTTTGAGCTTGATAAACTGGAGGTAACAGCCGTTGAAAAACATGAATAGGCAGAGGAGGTGCCTAGATAGAGTGCTGAGAGTCACAGTGGCAGAGTCAGCCAGGCTAGGAGACGGCAGAGGTTTCCACCAAGTCTTAAAAGATGAGTGGGATCCCAGCAAGAGAGAACGAGCGAAAGGGCATTGTCAGTAGAGGGAACACAGAAGCATGGGAAAGGCCTGGAGTGAGGAAAGCGTGGATAAAGAGCCTCACTGTGAGTGGGGAGAGATAGTACTGGTTATAATTTAATAGCAGATATTTATTGCAAGCCTTGTCATACTCCATGTCTTCCTAAACACTCTGAACACATTATCTCAAGGAGCTTATAATGCCAGGTGTGTGGACGATGCTTCTAAGAACTTGTTTCCAGGATCAGAACCTGGGTTGAAGTCCTGGCTCTACCTCCATGTGCTGTGTGCTCATGGACAAGTTACTGAATCTTGCTGAACCACAGTTCCTCATCATTGGGAACTATTTCTGTTGGCTCCTGTGTCTCTTTGACAACACCCCATTGTGATTGTGTGTGTGTGTGTGTGTGTGTGTGTGTGGTGTTTGAGTACCTCCTTACTTTCTAGTACCATGAGATACTCCAGCCTCATTTTCATAGTCCCTAACCCCGCCCTAAAATCAGACATTATTCTAAGGAACCCTGGTTTCTTTTATTGAACAATGGGGTGGGTATGCTCACTGTGTTGGGGTATCGTTGCTTCTAGACAAATCTGCAGTGCAGAAGAATTTCAAACAATTTATGGAGAAACTCCCTCTCAAGGAAGTAGAACATAACTCCTCACCCCTTAAGTATGAGCTTCATGTTGTGATTTTCTGCTAATTAGTACAGTATGTAAAGAAGGAGTAATAAAAGTAGCTTTATAGTAGAGAAACCTGACAAACACAACCTCAGCCAGGTGAACAAGGTCATCATCAGCAGTGCCAGTCACATTAATAGTATGTACTCTTGATACGATGTCATGAGATGTCACTTTACCTCCCCCAAACCCATAACCCAGTCTAATCATGAGAAGAAAGAACACTGTACAAACCCAAACTGAGAGACGTTCTACAAAATACCTGACTAGTATCTCTCAAAACTGTCAGGGTCATCAAAAACAAGAAAAGTTAAATAACTGTCATAGTCTAGAGAAGCCTAATGAACATAACTAAACATCTTATGGAATCCTGAATGGGATCCTGGATCAGAAAAAAAGGGCCGGTAAAGGAAAAATGTTCTTCAGTGAAATCTGAAAAAATGTGACTCTCGTTAATATCGCTGTACAAATGTACCATGGTAATGTAAGATGTCAACAATAGGGAAACTGGTTGTGGATATATGAGAGCTCCCTGTACTATCTTCTCAAGTTTTCAGTTACTCTAAAACTAGCATAAACTAAAACATTTATAGTAAAAAGTAGGTAGTGCTATTTTTTATTTTTTAACATTTCTTTAAAAAATATTTTTCTTTTCTTTTTTTTTTTTTTTTTTTTTTTGAGACAGGATCTCTCTCAGTCACTCAGTCTGGAGTGAAGTGGCACAATGACATCACAGCCTTGACCCCCTGGGCCCGAGTGATCCTCCTACTTCAGCCTCCTGAGTAGCTGAGACTACAAGCATGTGCCACCACACCCAGCTATTTATTTTTATTTTTGTTGAGACAGGGTCTTCCTGTGTTTCCCAGGCTGGTCTCAAACTCCTGGGCTCAAGTGATCCTCCTGCCTCAGCTTCCTAAAGTGCTGGGATTACAGAGTGGGCCACTGTGCATGACTGGTTATATTATTGATACCAAATAAGATTGTTGTGAAAAAGACATGAGACATTATGTAGCACACACAGTGTGTATACAGAGGAAGTCCTCAATTCATGTTGATTCTGTCACTCCTAGTATAGTAAGTCCTCGCTTAACACCCTCAATAAGTTCTTGGAAAAACAATAGACAGCCAGCCCTCAAAAAATGAATAATGTTGTTTTACTATGATATTTATAAGGAAAATGATTTTGTTATATGTCATTTCAGAAAAAGTCTTGGTTTCCAAGAACTGAGAACTTACTGTACTTAGTTCTCACATATCTCCTGTGAAAGGAGGTGCTGTTGCCTTGTGATACCTCCTTGAAGAAAGTAGTATTGTTTCCCTTTCTAGATGGTGCAGTATATTCCTGCACCACGATGGTGTAGGATTTAAATAGCTGAATGTCAAAATATTAGTAAGTAAGTTTTTAATAATCACCTACTCTGTGCCCAGCCATATTCTCTAATTCTCTGGGAGTTCTGATTCTCGAATATGTCTGGGAGGAGTAGAGATCCCTGGGAGCCATGTCATTCTGGATGGGGCACAGTGACTCATGAGCATATTTAATTCTGAGAATTGATCTGGGAGAAAGGTATTAGCAGAAAGTACAAGCTGACCCACAGCACTAGGTCTACCAGAAGGACTTGTGAAACTCAGCAAGTGCTGTTGCCTCCAGCTTATCCCAGGAGTGCTTGTTATTGTCTGATTATATCTTTGAGATTTTGGTGGCAGGCACTAGAGGTTTAAGAAAAATTTGTAGGGAAAACTGTTTTGTATTGAAAAAGCAAAGTCCCCCTAGTAACTTAATTTGTCGTGCAGATTACAACAGTACTAGTATTATTCTTTTATGCTGGACTCTAAGATCTTGAAAGCAAAGCCCATCTCTTGTTTTTCCAGATCTTGCCCTCAGGTTTAAATAATGTTGGAAGAATAATTGACTGAATGACTTAATGAGTGTGAATGACTTAATTTATTAGTGAGATGCCATGGCCTAGCTCTTTTATACACCCATGTGCTGCTGGAGTTTAATCCAAGAACTTCTTCTCTGGGATAAACAGAAGGTCTCATAATCTTGTTGAAGAAGAAAAAAAAAATTACTGATGTGGGAAATCACTGTGGATCAATATGCAAGAGAAAACAATTGTATACAGCTACCTCCAAACAGACATTAGGGATTGAGGGAAAGGAGAAGGGCTCGGGCCTTGTGTGAAGCAGCCTCAGCAGCAGAGTTCTCTGCACATACTGATGTTTGTTTCTTTCATTTGTGCCTTTAATGTAATGTCTCCTTCTTTTATCCTCCAGCCTCCTCCTCTGGCTAATTCTTGCTCATTTTTTAAGATGTGCAGCTCAGATAGAAAAATAAGAAAAACTTCCAAAGTTTAATGAAGCAATTATAATATTGATCCCAAAACTCAATGAAGAGGTCCCCAAAATAGAAAACTACAGTCCAATCTCAGTTATTAAATTAAGCAAACATTCTAAATAAAATATTAGCAAGAGAGTCCAGCAATACATTAAAAGAATATTCCATGATCAAATGGAATTTGTTCTGCTATGTAACATTAGGAGATCTATAACATTTTTCACCTTAATAAATTGATATAAAGAGAACAAGCATATGATCATCTTGATAGATGCTGAAAAGGTGTTTGGCAAAATTCAATATATATTTCTTGAAGATTTTCTTAGTTAAATTATAATTGATACTTAATTTTACTTGGTAAAATATATTTACCTTAATTCAAAAGCCAGCATCATGCTTACTGAGAAAACAATTGAAGAACTCAGAGTAAAAAGGAGGGGAATTCAAGTAAGAAAGGAAGTTGAAAGGTAAGAGCATCTACCATCAACACTATTATTTAACATTGAACTGGAGATACTAGCCAATGTTATTATGCAAGAGAAAGGAATTGGAAGCATAAAGATTAGGAAAGAAGAGGTAAAATTATTGCTATTTTCAGATAACATAATTAAACTTTATAAAATAAATTAAAACTAAATAAAATTAAAACTTCAATAAAATAAAATGTAGTACTAAGAGAGACCCAATAAGGGGCAAGGCAAAAAAGTCATATATAGAAATCGATATATAATTTACCATAATGATGGTAAAACTGTTTACCATATAATATAAAATATAAAATACCTAAGGATAAACTTAACTAAAAATGTGCAAGAGCTATATGAAGAGAACTTAAAAATACTCTGAAGGTAAACAACAAGAGCCTTAAACAAATGGGAGAGACTAACGGGCTCTTAGGAAGCCTCAGCAAGATAAAGATGTCAATTCTGTCTATATTCATCTATATAGTTTATCTCAATATAAATATAGTAGTATTTTATAGGGTCTGGCTCTGTCAACCAGGCTGGAGTGCAGTGGTGCCATTTTGGCTCATTTCAACCTCCACCTCCTGGGCTCAAACCATCCTCCCTCCTCAGCCTCCCTAGTAGCTGGGACTTACAGGCATGCGCTACCACACCCAGCAAATTTTTCAATTTTTGGTAGAGACAGGGTTTCGCCATGTTGCCTAGGCTAGTCTCAAACTCCTAGCCTCAAGCAATGCTCCTGTCTCAGCCTCCCAAAATGCTAGGATTACAGGTGTGAGCCACTGCGCCCAGCCATAGTCATACTTTTTAAACTATACAAGTAGAGTCACACATCAAATACTTATTTTCTTCCAGATTCTGTTTACATTTATTATCAGCATTCATTTCTTTAACTTGACAACAAACTTTGAGGCATGTACAATTATTATCATTACTTCTATTTTACAGCTGAGGAAACGGAGGCACATAGAGGTGAACTATTTTGTCTAAGGTTGCACACAACTGCAAAATGTCAGAGCCAGCCTGAAAACCCAGGGAGTTCACATCCTCAGTCCTCATCCCCTCCAGCCAAGGTGCTACATTGTGAGGCAACTGGAAGCAGATGGTATGATAGAAAAAACATACATAGGCACCCACACTCGTCTTTCCTTATGGGTAAAATGTAGGAAAAATGCCTGGGTTTATTGTAAGAATTAAATTAGTTCACCCGCATAAGACATCTAACACAATGCCTCTAACACAAGTTGGAGGCATCTAACACAAAGTTGGCACCCAATAAATGTTAGTTCCTTTGCACCT